AAAGCTATTATCAGCTTATAGAAAAATACTTTTCTCCACATTATCTTGACTCGCTTGGTATCTTTCTGACATGTCGAATACAATGCTGCTTTTCACTATTCCACATGGTGAAGTTTCTTCTCTAGAGAAAATGGAAAGTTTTGAATATGAGAAGCTCTAACTTGGTGGCTCCACTAGTATATTAATATAGGATTTTGTAGAAGGTATGGTACACATTTAAGCAGATGTATATAAAAAAAGTATTCTGTGAAAAAAAAAAAGTACTAGGAAACATTCTCCTAAGAGTACACTTGTTTTCTGTGTTATGTGATGTTCCTGTAGTGACACAACATGACCTGGAAGGTGAAATTATGTACAGAGAACTAGCATCAGCCATCTCATCCAGAGGCGGAGTTTGTCTGAATCCCTGTCTCTTTTCCAGGCACACCTACACAATGAAGCAGTCCCTCTGCTGTGACACGGTCTGCAAAGATCAGGAAGGAGCCCAGCAAAGACTGAACTCCCCTTTCATGCTTCCCTAAGTTAGTGAGAAAACCTTGACAGGAATAACCCTGAACTACTTTTGCCAATCAGAAGCCAGTAGCTTTGAAGGCCAAAAAGAAATGCAACTAGCTTTATGGATTTAGGAGAAAACATTATGTATGAGGACTCACAAATATGGGGAATAGAGAGTCTTCAAAGAAGGAAGTAGATAACATGCTTTTCCTCCTTCTCCATCACTTTTTTAGCTACTTTGCAAAAAAAGCGAGATGGTTTTGAAAGATCTGATATTGCAGGTTTACCTTGCTTGCTTTGTGCCCTGATTAAGATGCTGTTTTGTAAGCTAATAAAATCACCACAAGCAAATTCTGGTCTCCTATTTTTCCTTTACTTCCACAGAAATTAACAGTAACTTTAGGTACCCTGAGAATACAGATGTAAATGCAATGTAGAGCAAATCAATATGCATGTGGGCAAATACTACCTAGAATTACACTGGTTTTAGTCTAAAACTAGCACACTAATTTTGCTAAGCCTTGCCTACTCAATATAAAGTGATCATAAATGTATCATTAAAAAATCTGTCAATCATTATATCTTGGACTGATATCCAATGAAAAAGTAACATTAATGTTCATGTCAACAAACAAACACTTTAAAGTTTTGAGTTCAAATTACATCTAATGGCACAAATGACATTTCACGGTTTCTCCTAGTCCCATTGCATTCATCAGGCTATCACAAAATGGCATAACCAGCATTTGTACCATGGAATCCAAGGAGGACACAACAGCATTGACAACACAACAGCATTAATGCATATTCATTTTTTGTCTTACACTATTCAATATTATTACACTGTTAAGCCTATATTGTCAACTCCAAATGTATATGCTTCATATTAATTAATTTTTAACAATACTGCCCTTCTTTCCATGACATTTTATCAATGATTACTACTTATTGTTAGATTTCATATTAACGGTTTACTTCTTGAATAAAATAAAAATCTCTATTACTTGCCAATCTTTTGATCTCTTCTCATTTCAAAATTAGCACAGGTTTCATTCATCCTAGCCTTTTGAAAATAAATAGCTTGCAGTATAAAACAGCCAGGAAAGGCATATGAAACCAATATTCTTTCTCAATTAACTTACTCAAATGCATGAATGTAACTGAACTCACATACTAAAATAGTTTTTACTTGTTTCACTTACATTTTCGAAGAGCGCTTTATTCTGTGAAGGACAGCTTAAAGCAACTATGAGTTACAAACTGTAAGGTGTACAAATATGTCTGGTAATAGAGGTCCTGTAACTACAGGAAATAGGCTACCTGTTTGTTACAGGTGCACATTAAACACTTCAATAATTTAAGTAAATGGATGTCTAACACTCATCATTGCATTTTGTAATTTTATAATTTTAGAGGACGACCATCTACTAAAATCTCAATAGCAAAACATAATATTAATTACAGGACATCGAAACTCTGCCTTCAATTACACTCATACAATCCTAGATGACCCTATATACAAAATCTAAAGCATTTAAAAATTTTTAAAAAACTTCACCTTTAACGTTCTTTCCAAATCCCATAGAAGCAGGTACTGCACTGTCTGCTTGTATTTTGCTATTTGTTTTCTCTTTCATGACTTCATCATCACTTGAAACATCATCAGAGTTCATCTTTTTCTTTTTCTTTTTTTTATGTCGAGGAGGAAGCTTTTTCGGAAAGGTAAACATGGGAAATATCACAAGGAGCATTGCAATGGCACAAAGAAGAAATCCACTCCACCTAATGCCAGGAGACAGGAACAGAAATGAAAGCCAATGCATTACATGAAATAAAAAAACCCAAAGTGATTATTACAGGCTGTACTGACTGGAAAGACATATTTGCAAAATATGGAATATTAAGAGTAAAGGACGTGTGGAGGAGAGCCTTCACTGCACTAAAATCCTTAATTAGAAGATGTTTCTGTTGGGTTGTCTACTGATAAAGGTATTTATTCAGAACCCATCAAATATTATGAAATAGTGTCAGCTTTGAGTTCCCATAAATTTGCACTTTTGGTAATGATTCAGTACCAAATGCTGAGAAGTAGATACTCACTTTCACTTTGCCTTTCTTGGGTAATTCCCAGTAAAGCAATACAGTATTCCTCTGGAGAGCATGAAATAAGTTATCCATGGCATGAGAAGATAAAATATCCACACAGATACATCAGTACTAAATCTGTTCTGCTTTCCAGTGCCTCCCTCTCTCTGCCCTGACCGTCCATCCTCTTCGTTCCCAACGAAGAGCTCTCAAAGCCCGATTGTAAACAACCAATGTGCTGCAGTTCACCCCAGGGTTTATGCCTAAAACTTTCCAGCTGGGCTGGGTTTATGTGGTGGGCTTTCGGCAGCAGGGAGGGACTACAGGGATAGCCCCTGTAAGGAGCTGCTGGAAGTTTCCCTGGCTCCAAGTCAGACCCGACTCCGGCCAGGGAGTCTGACTCCGCTGCACGGAGTTTGTCCTGCCGGGACCAATGAGGTTCATCAGACCAGTCAGGATCAGAGCAGCTGCAGCAAAGAGAGGAGGGAGATGTGAGAGAAAAAACCCTGCAGACACCAAGGTCAGTGAAGATGGAGCGGGAGGAGGTGTGCCGGAGCTGGGATTGCCCTGCAGCCTGTGGTGAGATGGCAGCAGCCCCCCTGCTGCCCACGGAGATTAACAGTGGAGCAGAGACCCACCTGCAGCCCGTGGAGAAGCCCACGCAAGGGCAGGTGGCTGTGCCCGAAGGAGTTCACAGAGGACTGTGTCCCGTGGGAAAGTACCCCTACACTGCTGGAGATGAAGGGTGGAGCAGAAACACATCTGCAGTCCATGGAGGACCTCAATGCTGGGGCAGATGGCTGCACCTTAAGAAGCTGTGATTCTGTGAGAAAAGCCCATGCTGGAACAGTCTGATGGGTAAGGACCTGATGAGATCCATCCGCGGG